AGAACACATGTAAACACTGTAAGATCACACTACAGATAGTTCATGTAAGAGAATGTATAGTCGACAAATCAATATCAACTTTATTCATCTGCAAGCACGTATGGTACTCAGTGAATTTTGTTGAAGAGCTGGTTTCATGCTTTGATATCGGATGAAGCTTAGAATAGATGAGTCGGGGTCACAGAATAGTAGGCTGGGAAATTCTTCGTGCAAGAAGTCAGTAATAAATGCAACGCAATCCTACCCCTATTTCAGGTGGTGCAACTTAATTAATCCTATTGAGGGAATGAAGACCAAGCTGGTGCGGCCTTTGTGTGGTCGCAGTCTCCTTTCGTTATATAGAGGTTGTTTGACCTTGTTTTCACAACTTGGTCATATAGGTAGGAAGACTTAGAGGAATGCACCTAGTCCGAAGTCTATTGTATGCATGAGCATTTCCAAATCCGAACCGTGGCCGTAATACATTGACAGACGTTTAGCCGGCATCGCCAGTGCGTCTTGTCATTCTTAGCACCACACTACAACTCGTCAAAGAGACAAGTGAAGCCGATGTTTTGACCAAACGTGTGCTAAACAGTTGTGGTATCTCCCCTTCTACACTGAGCCATTCACATTTCCTATATCCTCCTATCACGCCTTCACTGTTACAATTTTTACCGTGCTTATTGAGATGCAGTGTGGTGTGCTCCTTTAAGCGGCATTCATAAAAGCCCTTCACACTCCACGCCGTTGTTCTCACTCCCTTCACCCTTGTGCTGGAAATGTGGATCAGTCTGCCATATTGTTAAGTAGATTGAGGCCTAATCAAAGCCAGCAGTACCACAACATTCGTTGGTTAGCACACAAGAGACTAAAGCATAGCGAGTCATAAACTTGGTATTACGGATAGTCAGTATAGACGCGGCATAGACTGGATCTAGTTGGCTGAGAGTAGGTTTGATTTTACCATAGACATGGTTCATGTAGCAAAGGCGTGACAATTAAACTTAATCAGAGGTTTTAGCCTCGAATTAGTCACCCAAACGCAGGGGAGGGTGAATAACGCCTCGAGTAGCACAGATGGGGTGGCAGGGGTCTAGTAAAATATGTGAACCAGGGAGAGAGCAGACGGATCTTACGAAGCAAGAGAGACTGTGATAAGACCTATTAAAGGAGGACTGAGTAACAATATGGCAGACTCTGATCAACATTCCCAGCACAAGGCAGAAGGGGGTGAGAACGACGGCGTGGAATGTGAAGGCTTTTCACGAATACCACTGAAAGGAGCACACTACACTGCATCTCAATAAGAAAGGGAAAACAGTGAAGGTGTGATAGGAGAATATAGGAAATGTGGATAGCCCACGGCAGAAGGATAGATACCACAACTGTTTATCACACGTTTGGTCAAAGGATCGGCTTTACTTGTCCCTTTGACGAGTTGTGGTGTGGTGCTAAGAATGGCGAGACTAATTGACGATGCCGTCGAAACGTCTGGGAATGTACCACGTCCACTGTCCTACTTTGGAAATGATCATGCATACAATGGACTCCGGACTAGATGCGTTCCTCTTAGTCTTCCTTCCAATATCACAAATTTGCGAAAACAAGGTCGAACAACTTCTAAAGTGGCAATGTTCTCGTCCACAGTTGTCAGAATGATTTATATATATGTGTGCCTTTTATAGCGGTGTGAATTGATAAATAATGAACCTGTCCGCAATGAATAGAAGTGAACGAGTCTTGTGTTGATTTTTATTACGTTTTATTAATAGATGTTTATGCAGTAAAATTCAGTGCAAAATTCATGCTCCCTTAAGATATCATGAAAAATCTCACCATTCTTTTTCGTCTATAGGTAGGTTTTCGAGTCTACCAATAGATTATATGTAAATATATATGGAATGAATTCACCTTATTTTATTAAGGTGATGGACTGATAGTTAAATTTTCCACAATGATATGAATAGACCTTGCGTTTCCATTGAATTCCACATAGCCTTGCCTCCCAAGAGGTATTCCCATCCAGGGTGCACTGCAGTTTCAACCTCGCCTTGGTCACCTCAACATCCCCAGCGGTGCTCGAATCGTGACAGTGCAGCGTACAATCTAGACACATTAGCTACTACGCTACACTGCCACGATGCCCTTGGGTGACAGGGTAGATGCAAACTCCTGAGGCCAGGAGTTTTTCCACATCACATTTGCGGTGGAATTTTAGATGAAGCAAAGTTGTCTACCCTGAATGATAATACTATTTGGGAAGCATGGCTATGCGAAATTCAATGGAAACGCAAGGTATACTCATACCATTGTGGGAAAATTCAACTAAAGTACCCCTATCTCCTTAAACAAAATAGAGCAAGTACATCTAACAGATAATTTCATTATAATTCCAGCTTGTTTCTCAGGAAAAACAAGTAATTGCCCCAAAAGCTTTCATTAAAATGTAATTAAAGTTCCTGCTACTATGCACTTACATTTTCCGATGACGAATAGCCTGATGCGAGTAAATACTGAAGACAGTCAATCAGATGACAACATATGAAGCATATGGATGGCTTTAAGATGCCTTAGCCACAAGGTTGGTTTTTAGCCCAACCGGTGAAAATAAGGCGGGCTACCACCCGTCCAAATCTTGCTCGTGAGTCTACCTTAGCTTGAACCGCGATACTGATTGTCTGACTTGAGTTAGGCTGGGAATATGCTATTGCTCCAGATAAACCATATCATGACCACAGGCACAAAGGGTAGATCCGAAGTTTACTTTACACAGGCGCCAGCATGAGGGCACATGGAGATGCGATAAAATTAGCAGATTTCAACGAAAATTCAGGAATCGGGAAAATAGTTGGCTCTGCACTACAATTCCTCCGGAATACCCTGATGTCTAAAGGGCATACTGCAAATACAGATCGAAAAATAAGCGTGTGGGAAAAAATGCAGCGATACTAATTTGGAGACCTTGAAACGTCAACCAGAGTACATGAAACTCTCAATACAACATTAAGTCTCTCGGGGTAGATCTAAAGAGTCTGATGAAGAAATGTTTTTCGACTCAATGAGTCGTAATTTAAGCAAAAGACGCCCACAATTTGATATTTACGTTCACAATAGTTTTGGAAGCATGTTTACAGGCGAAACGAGGTATACTCGTATAGAAAAGGGTTCCAAGCTCTAATGCAAGAAATGAGATATATTCCGTCCTGTGATTCCTCCAAACTGACACGAACCCGTTTCTAGATATCGGAGTAGATAAATGCTAGCGTCTCAGAGACATGTTCAGTCTCATCGAATAATTTTATCAAGCATAGTACATTCACTCCAGTCTAAACTGGAGGTTATGTCTCCATTTACGCCGCTACTTTACAGTGAACCAGGTACCATTTCGACTAATTTACATTTGACAACCACTCTGCAAACTAAGTATATTAACTAATAACCTTTCTATCATACTTGCCCTACTACTTTTGCTTCAGCTGTTGGCTGCTCGAGCCAACCGGAGACGAAAGGAGGGCGGCATCAACCAGAACCAAGCCAACGTTAGGCCTCGGTATATCATGATAGATGGCAAGCGCGGTGCACTCGTCTAACATGTAAGAACAGAGGCAGTGACTAGCTCACCAGGTGGATGCTATGCAGAGTCAGATGAACAAGCAAAATGTGGGGTCGTATCTAATTCGTAATAGAATACATTTCAACTTCTATACTTACGAAATCCAGTGGAATAAGAAGATAATTTATTTACTCTCTATCGTCCTAATCACTGTATTTATCTACTTGTGTTTAAATTCCCAACGAAGGTGCCAATTCTGGCATTAACAATGACGGTAAACTTTTCTATTCAAAGCAGATGTGGCAACTGTAAACTGTCTAAAAACTGTGCTCCAAAGTGATACCTACTATTAGCATGATCATTGCTACCTCCACTCAACCGAAATTTTTTCTTCCAAAATAAGGCACTGATTATTACCTATATTTTGATTCTAGAAAATAAATTGATGCTAACAAAAGATGTCAAAGGTGAGATTAACAAGATAGAATTGTTAAGTTCTGCCTCATTCTCGCAGGAAGTAAAAAAATAGAAATTAGTGAGTATAATAGAAAGACTAGAATAAAGTTGAATGAGGTCGGTGGATAAGCCGAATCAAAGAGATCATAAATTAGCCAAGTCGAAGAAACCGTTTCGTATTCGAGGTGGTCTGGCTAGTCAGGTTTTTTTGGAATGGTTGCGCTTCCAGGACTCATCCGGTTGCTCTAGTTCTGTGAGTACACCATTGGCGTCCTTTGGATGCAGAAATACTACAGGATAACCGTGAGCACCAGTGGCTGGTTTATCGGCTAGGGTGCGCACTCCCTTCGACTTCAAATCGCTAATTGCTGCATTTATATTGTCTGTCTGAAGGCGAAGCATTTTAAAAAGTAAAAGATAAAGAAGATAAAAATGGAATTAAACTTTATCAGTATGGAAATATTTCGAACTATAATGATTACAAATGAGAAGACTTTGGACTTTTTATAATTAACTTCATCATACTCAAGATAGTAAAGCAGTGGCTAAGATTTGTTGCCATAATTTGTTTATTTTGCATTGAGGCAACTGTAGTGACTTATAAACCAATTGCATTTTGATACAAGCACTTGTACTGCCAGTCATTCGCTGCGTTTATTCCCAAGAAAAGCTAGTGATTAAATGCAGAGAAATGTGGTGAAGCAATGATGCAATGATGATTCTTATGTAATGGTAAGCCAAACAAATTAGACGAATAAAATAAGCCCAGTAATATAAAAACGTTAAAAATAAATATTTTAGAATTGAAAAATAAAGAAACCTGGGATATAAGAGCGAAGGATTCGAGCGCTACAGTCTACAAGCCTAGAGCTAATTCGAATGGATCTCCTGGTTCTATCATACAATGATCGTACAGCGACGCGGTTTCTCTTCTATTCCAAAGATAATCTGCTTATCATGAACCAACTCAACAAAAGATCTTAATAATCATTTAACCTTATTTTCGCAACTTTGTCATATCGGCAGGAAGACCTAGAGGAACGCACCTTGTCCGGAGTCAATAGTATGGATGACAATTCCCAGTCGGACCGTGGACTTGGTAGATTCCCAGACTATTCGACGCCATCGTCAGTGAGTATTACCAGTCTCAGCACTATGCTATAACTCGTCAGTAACAAGTGAAGTAAATCCCTTGGCGATTGTCTGCCAAGAAGGTTGTGCTATCACCCCTCTTTCTGCCTTAGACCATCTATCTACTCCCTACCATCTTGTCTCAATCCCGCCTTATCAGAATTACTGACTTCTTTATATTCCACTCTTCAAGAGGTG